CTATGACCCGCATAACGTCGTCCCACGAGCCCTCTAACCATAATTAGCATGCACATTCAAGAATGTTCCATATACCCCTCCACCTTCCAAGCCACCAGGCCCGCATACCGGCCGAGAAGAGGGTTGGCTCGCACGCGAGAGCGTACAGAATTCAGAAGGTGGGGTGTGTGCAGGCACATACCAACTGTTGTCCCCGCGGAATGCATCGAATAATCCAAGCCGCTTTTCTTGAGGAGCCGCTGCACTTCCGCGACTTCCTTGGATACCGATGCTGTGGGGGTGCCCAGGGGGATCAGACAAAAGTCTGCAATGCACGCTGGCGGGGTCGCAAGACTGGTGAGGTCGTCCGAGGCTGACATGATGTAGTTCTGTTATTGCAGCTGTGGGGTATATGCAAAAGGAAAGTCTTGAAACAAACGGTCGTTGAATGAGTCCGGGTATTGTAGGGTGACGTCCGAATTCGGTGTTCGTCGGAACTTCAGCACCGAGCTCGCTACACTGCCTGCGCAACAACATGCCGATGCAAGCAGAAGAACTACTACGACCAATTAGCTGATGTGCGGGTTGTGAAGGATGTGAGATTTTAGATTTTACAAATGCACAAGGGGGTAATTACACATATCAGCTGCCACCTATGTGTCCATGGCTCTTATCTAGGTAAACTTCGCGATACATTCAGCTCCCATCAAGATATACATACCTATGATGCTTCATGAACTCCAGGAATCTGTCTCGTTCTTTGATCCATAGAAGAATTCCAGTCCTATATCGACCAAGCAAACAACCCACCACCACGCGACCCCAACAACTTCACGCCAGCACACTCATCCGTCACACTACCAAGCAAACGATATGTCGCATCCCGTTTCCCAAGCAAGCATCTAACAACCTAGGTACTCTGTCACTCCTACTCTCCCGCAATCCTCCACCATGCCACCGCACTTCACCCCCATCATACCCCCTCACATAGCCCCTCGACTATCTAGGCCCATCACAATACCGACAAGCCATCTCGGCGACAATGTCGGCATCCACCAAGACCGGTGGCGACCCTCCGATAATCATATCGATGGGTCCCGCAACTACTATCGTGACTACCATAAACGCAACACCCACTACCCCAACTGATTTGGAGACTTTCCCCATAGTCACGAGACCGGATCCTGTCACTATAGTACCCTCATCGATTCACGCGGGAACGACAACATCGACTACTAAGACTAGAGATGACATGTCAACTTCTGTGATGCCCACTACATCTACTGTTACAACGCCCCCTCTAGACCCATCGTCCAGTCTACAAACAACTCTCTTCTCATCTTCGTCTGATGCAACTCTCTCTTCATCCACCGCACTACCCTCAATTACATCGGAGCCTGACCGCGGTCTTAGTGTGCCAGCATCAATCGGTCTGGGTGTTTCTACGGGCGTTATTGCGATTTGTGTAATAGCCAGTGTGTTGTATGCGATATACGGCCGGCAGCTGAGAGATATGTGGAGGAACACTGGACGTGGTATCGGGGGGACGGATGGGAGGAGGTGGTGGAAGAGAGGGAGACGGGATAGTTTTTGATTTTGATTGGGTGTATTTGGATAGGTGTTCATACCTCCACCAAAGACATGAAGAACTCGATTTCCTTCCAAGCTCAGCCTTGACTTGACCCATTTGTGAAGCCGACTCAATCATTCCCTAGCTACCACCTGATCCATCGAGCGCGCCCACTCTAGACCTCAATATCCGGTAGCTGCCCCGGCAAACCCGCCGGACTATCCTCCAAAATCCTCTCCTGACAAAATACCTGGTCATTGGCAGTCAAGACCCACATGAAGCTCTCCCACAAAGTGAAGACCACCTTCGAAATCTTCTCGTACTCGGGGATGAAAGAACCCAAAGGTATGCCCGAAAACTCCGCGAGGGCAAGCACCATAGTCTGAGCAAATGCCTCTTCAAGAGAAATCTGAGACGTAGGGTTCATCACCGCGGTCGCGTTGTTTTCGACGAGGTCAGACCACGTCTGATCGGACCACATGAGAGTACCGGAACCTATGTGGAGTGGGACGTGGTTAGCAGCGATAAGAAAAAGCTACAATAAAGAGCGAGATACTTACTCCAAATTCCAAAACCTCCGCCTACGTACTGGCCCATTGACCTTGCGGACTCGGCGATGATATTGTGTAGGCTGGCTTGCCCTTTCCAGACAATGGTGTCGTAGTCGTTGTAAATATCTCGGCCGCCCTTGTCGTCGGCTGGCAGCGCGATGAAGTGGCGGTTGAAGCGTCGCAAATTGACGGGAATCAGGCCGATGTAGAAGTTCATGAGGTCGGGTTGGTACCAAGCGTCCTTGTGGCGGCACATGACCCATGGTTTCTCATAGCACTACCGACTCATTAGTACACCGTCATTTAACCACAGTAGACATCAGTTCAGACTCACATCTTCGTACTCAACCTCGAACATCTCAATGTCTTCGACTTTGTAGCCTTCTTTAGTGAAGATCTTCTTGCACGCGTAGTTGATCTTGCTGTCGTTCCACATTGTGACCACGTTTACTGTCTGGTGCTTGAGCTGTTTGACCAGGTACTCGCTTATGTCCAAAACTGGAGGGTTGAGAGTGGGCTTGTCGACGGGTATGGGCTTGTCTTTGTGGCTGAGAAAGACTGGCATCGGGTCGTTGGGGTCTCTTGCGGGGGCTGTACCGACAGCGACGCTGGTGAGTGCGGCAAGGCATAGAAAGATGGCTCTGGGGACCATCATATTGAGCAGATGGATCGTTTTTTGCTTGATTGTAAGCCTTATGTGATGAGGTCGAGACGGAAAGTGTGGTGTAGGAAGGTTTGTTACTGAGAAAGACGGGCATGATATAGATCTCACCTGTGCTCAAGACGGCGCTAGTGGTATCTGCAATGCGATGCTGACCGCTGAGGTGTGAGACTGAGATGGCGGTCGAGGTGAGAGAGATTACATCTTCTAGTGATAATCGAACAGCAATTACAGGACCATGCGCATCCCGATGGGCTCAAGAACGTAACAATCCATTTCGAAGAAACCCTACACTCCCGCAGAGAGCACAAAGAACCTACAGCACTAAGCACTCGCAGCAACTATCCCACCGCGTGTGATGTGAGGTCTTGCAGCGATCTTGTCCTCCAAGTCTAGCAACGAGAACCGAGGCCTGCGATAAGTGTAGCCCACGAAGGCACCTTTCTTCCTGATCTCCAGAACAGTTTGGCTGACATCTGGATCCCGAAGAAGCTTGTCACGGGGTCGTTTCTTTTCCCGTTTGCGTCTCTTCATGTCCCGCAATGACTTAGCGAACCCTTCTTGAGCGGGCGTAGCTGCACCATCATGCTGGGCAGCCGGCTGGGCCGGGGACGTAGCATCATCCTCACCATCTTGAAATTCTACCGCAGGGTCTGCCAGCCCTCCGAGAGCTTCGTAGCTTGAAGAGTCGAGATGATCAGACGCGCTCATTATCTCGGCCTCGTCGTCGAAGTATTTGGTAATCGGCTGACCGCCGTGAGCGCGTGGTACGAATGGTGGACGAGTCAGATGCAGTTGTGACCACTGAATGTTGCGGAAGAACGGGTGGGACTTAATGTCTTCGGCATCGTTGGGGTAAACAATATGACCGGTGGTGTTGACGTTACGATTGCGGCGCGCACCAGCAGCTTTGTCGCGGAGGACCCAGTCGTTCTCACGGTATCGCTTAGCTGAGAGACGATCTTGTCTGTCCTCGAGCAGTCGCATCATGAGGTCGATTGCGTTGCGTGAAACTGGCATGAGTGGGACGCGGTCGATGTTGGGACGGGCATAACGTTGGTCAGATGGGAATCGCAGCCACCTCCTATGATCCTGCGCGAGTTAGCACTAGAACGCAGCGTATCATAGCTAAACCTACGAGTATGCGCATCTTCGTAGCTTGGCGGTTATCGCAGAAGAAGGGCGTGCAGCCGTAAAGGCACTACGAAATCGTCAGTGTAAACAAGCATAACATCTCATGCCCACATACCTCGTATAATATGATACCAATGCTCCACCAGTCACAGCGACCGTCGTAGCTTTCGCCTCGTATGACCTCTGGTGCCATATATTGGCTCGTACCAACGACACTCTTGGCGAATTCACGCCTCTGCTCTCGATTTAACCAGTCGATGATAGGTCCATGCGTTGAGGCTTGTCTGGTATGGTAACGACCGCGGGCCGCTGCGCTTCCATTGACGAGATTCATGGTCTTGTGAGCGTCTGATCGATCCTTGTCTTCTTCAACGTCTTGTGCGTCGCCTTTGACATGTAGATCCAAGTCGCGGAGTAGACCATATCGTTGCTCATTGTAGTAAGTCTGGTTGTGAGCCCAATGTCCATCAAAGGCGAGGCCAAAGTCGGAGATCTTGAGATGGCCAGACGAAGTGATCAAGAAGTTGTCGGGCTTGACATCGCGATGGATCCAGTTCATCTTGTGTGCCTCCTCGATGCACAGTATCATCTCTGCGAGATACCACTTCGCGACGTTCTCATCAAGGATATCTTCACGAAGAAGGAGGCCCAGAAAGTCGCCGCCCATCATGTATTCCATGACGAGATAGAGGTTGTTGTTGTCCTGGAAAGCAGAAATTAGGGGAACTACCCATCGCGAATTCTCTGACGCGACTAGAAAGTCTCGCTCTGCTCGCAAATGTCCCTCTTGGCTATTGCGAAGCATATCCGACTTTCTGATGACCTTCATGGCGAAGACTTGCTTTTGTCTGCGGATGGTCGGGGAAGGTCTATCAGTTTTTGGCGTCAATGAGCCGTCGAGATATCCCATACTGCAGCTGCTTCCGCGTAGACTGCCGCAATTGTCACTCTTCTCGCGAACGAGACGCACAACACCGAAGCTACCTTTCCCGAGGACTCTTACGATGTCGTAATTGGAGATGTGTACGCCTTTCATCGTCTGACGCGCTAGTGTATTCGACTTCATGACACGGGTTTGACGCAGATGATGTGTCTCTGCAAGATACTATTCTCGCCTTTTGGAGTGACGTTGCTCGTTCGGTATGGCCATGGTGAATACCTTCCGCTCCATTTGGCGGCGACGCATAGATCGTGGTGTAACCTTGGTACCGAGAAGCTGATTGAAGTGTGACTCGAAGAAGATCTTCGCCGCTGCTGCATTCTCGATGGTCGCAACGGAAGGCTCACACAGTCGCGGAGCGTCTTGACGTGGAAAGACAAGGAACCTTGGAGGCAAACGTTCTGGGGTCGCCTCACAATAGAGCGCAGGTTGATTGTCGGTTACATGACGACCGTTCTGACTTCGATAGGTGGTTTCAGCAGACAGCGGCGCACCTGAAGAGACCAACGATGTCGGTGCAGTGGACTGGCTCAGCGGTGCGACGCTGCTGGAGGGGCTCAGGACACTTGATGGAAGCGAAGGGACCTCTGACATGGCGCTTTTGGGCGAGGTGGTAGTTCGCTGGTCATCGCTTGGATGCTTGAAATGGTCTGTTCGAACCATTGGCCGAGAGCTCAGCTTGGGTCGACGCACCACCGTATCGTTGTTCATTAGGGCGTTGGAGATCTTGGCGGTGAGTTGCTGGGAGAGACTTGGTGTCGACCAGCTTGTTGTCATGGGTGTAGGAGGCGGAGTGCGGGTTCTTGGTATAGGTTCTGATTCGCCATCGAAGACGGCAGCGTTTGTGAGTTGGAGTAACGATGAAGAGTCCGGATCTAGGGAGAGAGCTGGTAGAGTCATAGGTACATCGGGAACGACAGGGCATTGTAGAGGAGAGTTGGAGTAGGAATTGATGTTATCGACACGTGGTACGTCTGCTAGTTTGTTGACCGTTGACCCAGTGCTACCAAAGGTAGCCTCGCCGGAGCTGGGAGCGGAACCTGTTGGTACTATCAGTAGAAGCCAAGAGGTACCAGGCAGAAATGGGTAGCAACTCTTGCCATTGCGGAAGATTGAGAAGATTCTGATGCTTCCACGACGAAGTGTAGTAAAGGTACGGCTAGCAGGGGTGCTGTTGCGCCCCTGTAGGTTCTTCGTGGAGCCGCTGGAGTACCCTTCTGCTGATCGCTCGATGACGCGAACCTTGCCTTTATCACGAGATAGTTGTATCGCGTTATGGGCTTCCTTTCTCTTCCGCGCTGGGACGAGCGACAACATGTCAGTAGCTCTGGTGTCGGGTGATGATCGAAGTTAAAATCGAACTGAGTAATAATGTTCGATGAACGCCGCGGTCATCGAAGAATATCGATGCAGGACGGTTGGTGACAAGCAGAGCCAGAAAGACCTGTCAGGTGGATACTGTTTACACCAGCGATATTGGAAAGCATGACTTGAGTGACGAGGCAAGAGGCCCCATCGCAGGAAGGTGGCCAGGGTCTCTCAGTGCTCGAGGAAGGCGCTCATGGCACCACACCTGGCAGCATCAACAGCGGTCGTACCTCACGCAGCCGCTATCCCGGACGCCAGAATCAACGAACCCGTGCACCCTGCGTCCAACACGATCGACAATCTCATGGCGCTTGGCTAAAGCGATGCTTGTTCACTGCTAACCCCAGTGCGCAAAGATGTTCGTTCGACTCAAGCAAGGGGAGTACGAATGCGGTACCTCGCGCCGTATAGACAGGCACTAGCAGCGAACCGCAGGAAAGATGGCACTGCGCGGATGGTGTGCTGGTGCGCTCGGCACGACGCGGGCCCAGAAGGAATGCCTTTTCAAGCAATTGGTTATTGCGAATGGAGGCTTCGTTCGTCCCGGCGCAGTGGACACTTCCAAGCGACCAGGGGCGGCGAAACAAGCTCCCAATCAGCATCCTCGACACTCGGCCTTCCCCAGCTGTCGCACTGCAGCCCTCATGCAGCGATATGAGGATAGAAACATGCGCATGTTGACGGCTGGGGATTATATTGCGGCGAGGGCGTTGATCGCCGTCCGTTGGGGGCCAGTGGCGGCTAGCTGACTGTGCGCGCGGTTGTCTGCGTCTTTCAGCATTCTTCTCCCACGAACACAGACGTCGCCTACGCGGTGTAGCTGCGGCGTTTCAAGATTCTGCATCACGCCTTGGTCACACTATCACGGCCGAGTCGCGCGGATGAGGGCATTTTTCAGATCCGGAAACCTTCCTCGCTGTCTGCTGGTGGGCATGTGGACTCTGGAGTAGTTGGGCGCTTAGAGGTGCCTGGCCGGACTGCCGAGACTCTGCAAAGTCATCACACGCCTCTGCAAATCAGAGGCGCCATGCGCATGGCCACCTCGGACGCTATTCGCTCCGCCGACAGAGGCTTTCCCTCCCGCCCGACAAGACCTGCATACGCGAAGCTCAGTGGTCGCTGGCCCCTGTAGATTCAATATGCTAGCGACGTGCCTATTCGCTGCCTACTCAATGCTTCGAGGGCTGACATGCAAAGGCTGGCCATGCTGGCGGGCCCATTTTGCTCTGTTCATTCGCCTGAAGCGTCTCTTTGGCGAGCAATGCCATGGTTGCACGAGGCCCTCGAGGCCAAGTCCCGTAATCCATAAGTGCTGATGCCCCCCGCCACCGCACGCTGCCCGTTCTGCGTCGACTACCATCAAATCGTGTACCCCAAAGCTGACGGGTCACTGAATCGTTAAAGACAAGGACTTCCGCTACGCAACAGTCTTTGCTTTCCACATCGCACCGCCAAAATGTTTCGTTTTACCGAGCTCGTTTTTATCGCCGCTACCTGGTCACTCGCTACTGCACATACCGTTATCGTCTACCCAGGATGGAGAGGAAACAACATCCACACCAACGGAACCAAGTCTGACACAGACCCATCGATTCCAGATGGCTCGATCGGTATCAACTATCACGAAGACACCGGCACATATGGATTTCCATACGGCATGCAATGGATGTACCCATGTACGTTTTCCCGATTGGGTATTCCGCGCAGGAGGAGATAATTAACATGAACTTCTAGGTGGTGGCATGCCAATGTCGCAAAATCGCACAAAGTGGCCGGTGAACGGCGGCGCCGTCGCAATCCAACCCGGATGGTTCCCAGGCCACTCGCTCGCCATGTTCTACGTCAACATGGGTTACGGCAACGAACCGCTAAACTACTCGCACACGATGGTGCCAGTCTTCCAGATTACAGGGCCTACAAACCAAGAATACCCCGGTTCCTTCTGTCTACCGCAAGTCCCATTACCTGCCAACTACACACCCCAGGTTGGAGACAACGCGACTATCCAGATTATTGAGCTTGCGCAACACGGCGCTGCTCTTTACAACGTGAGTGCAAACGCCTGAACATGACAGCCGCATAGTTGCTAATAGATTTCAATAGTGTGCCGACATCACTTTCGCCGAACCAGAGGATGTTCCCGAAGTCAACAGCTCAAACTGCGTTAACACAACAAACGTCGACGACCACATTGGCTTCCAAATCGTATACTCGACAACATCATCGCCAGCGCCACACAACATGGTCGTCAATACCTATGCATCAATCATAGTACCGGCAATGCTTGCAGCGGCGTCGTGGATTACATGGGTTGTCTAGTGTACGAACCTGACTTTTATCCGCGAATATAGTCTTTTTATGGGCAAGGAGTTTTGGCGCGAAAGATATCCGGTCTCTTTTGAAGCGACGATCTCGATTTGGAGCGTACACGGTGGTTTGATCTGGGTGGTTGGTGGACCAGCTGTTCAGCAGCTATGACGGTCTTTCTTAGGGGCACATAACACGTTACTGTGCGGTATGATGTACAGAAGCTACACATGCAATACCATTCAATATCCCAATACTTGCATTTCCACTTGTCGCTCACTTGTAAGCCATATGCTGTCATGCTTATACCGACTGCAACAAAGAATAGCTTGTGTATCTAAGCCGTCAGCAGGAGGCCTGATCCGCGTGCGCAACCCCGACATGAGCGGATGGCTTGAACTACAGCTGCAGGCCAGATAGCAGACCCCTAATCAAGAGAGGCACAGTTCCCAAACGATCTTTACTGTAGTTTGCGGGCCACAGCCAAGGTCGCCGCCATTCCGCCTCGGAAATCCCGTTCCGAGCCTCCCTTTCCCCACTAAAACCCAACCAGACCCTGGCCTCTCACGATGATTTTCTACGCGCCCAGGTGGTCCCCTTCCCGTCATCGCCTCGCCCTCGATACTTTGGCCACGCCTTACTTACGCGCCCATGCAAGCCGCACCTTAAGTCGACGACGTGACGATCGGTGTACCTTTTTTGTGCGGTGTGCGTCATTGTGGGTTTGAGGTGCGCTTGTGGTGAAGGGAATGTGCGTTTTGGTTTTTGCCAAGACCGAGTAAAGAAAGGTGTAGTGGGGAGATATGAGTAAGAAAGGAAGAGGCCGCGTTAAGAGGAAGGAGGTGCAGAGTGAGGATGGGTGGACTGTTATTACCCATGGCTTGGCGAGTATCTCGCTTGATGGGAATGGGAAGAAGGAGGCAGATACTGGGTCCTTGCCTACGAGGATTGTGGAGGGACTAACAGCGGAGAAATTATTGGACGATTTTCGCCTCCTTCAAGAGCGGTGGGAAGATACGCTGCTTTCGAAGCAAGTCAAAGAGATTGTGGAGAAGAGGAGCGCTGATGGCAAATGGGGTGTTGAAGAAGCGGTATGCATTGGCATCGGCAGTTTCAGTCGGGACTGGGCGCATCGGTGGAGGAGTCTTTGGCAGCTTGTACTGTTTGTTGATGTAGTCGGGCGGCGTATGTCATCGTCTCTATCTGTTGCATGTACCCGAACTGATTATAAGATAGTCAAAGAAGAGAACAAGGACATCAAGATACAGTGCTTCGCCCAAGACCCAGCCTTCACAGCCCTCGACATCGAATTCCTATCTCACCTCTCCATCACGGTCCTCGACTCCGATCTCCAAGTCCATATCACGTCCAAATCCTTCGTCTACTCGCCGTTCGTGGACTGGTTCCTTCTCCTACCGACGTTCCTCAAATCGAAAGACCCGGTGTTGTATGTAGGCAACGAGATTCTGGATGACTATAGTGTATATGCGCAAACGAAGGAGAAGAAAGAGCGATTGGAGGAGTGCAATGAGGTGGGTAAGAGGTGGGTAAAAGGCAGGGAAAAGGTGGCGCTAAGAGAGTTCGAAAAGCATGGGAATGCGTTGAATGGGATGGTTGTGTATTTGAGGAATTGTGATGAGGACGCAGAGGAAGAGGAAGATACAGAGGCGAAGCTTGGAGAAGAAGATAACAAAGAGGCGACTCCCAAAGAAGAGATCTAGCCTATCATACGGATACAACCACCCGTGGATGTATTAATTGCAAGCCTTGGCTTCAATTGGTCCCCAACCTTGGTACGCAGCAAAAGTTCGGAAATCTCAACCAAAGTACATTCCTTGGAGGCTAGCATACAATATGTACATGAGGCCTTCATCTCGCTCAACTTATACTTCAAAACCTTAAGACCTTGACTCGCAACCCCCGTATACAACTCTAGATCTACTCTTAGCCGAGATCGCAACTTCCACACCAGGCGACACCAAAGCCTGAAGACTAACGCTTGCGAATACCGAAGGCATCGGAAAACGATGTCTCACAAAAGCCAAATGCGTGTGCGATTAGAGAACACATCGTCTCCTTCGCACCAAGAAGATGAACAGACCTTTCTGGTGCCAGATGACAAGCTAGCAATGTAAGATACCTAACCAACTCACTGCAGTCGGAAATTGCTAACTGAACAGCTCACAACGCAACCGATCTGTTTCACCTCTACTACGCTTACCGGCCGAAATCCGAAACCAGATCTGGGAATACTCCATGAATTGCGCCTATATATTAATAAGATATCGCCATGACAGCGACAGAACAAAATCAAAGCTCCGTGGGGTTCCCCAAAGCGATGATGGCAGGAAAACAACGGATATTGCCCTTCAATTACCAGCAACCTCGAGACAGATCCACTCAGATACGCTTTTCCTGATATTCTCACTCGCCACTTTCAAGGTCAGTCAGGATTACCAGCTTCGGCTTCTCTCGAAGCACGCGCTTCTACGAAACATCGAATCCCTACGTATGTCTACGGCATGCTTGCAGGACTTGACATGTCACTGTCTATTTACCAAGAGGCAAGGCTTGTATCAAGCATGCCAATCTCAGGGCGATCGTTTCACCAAACTGTTACCGCGTCTGACACACTTGGAACTCGATCCCCGCATCGTGGACGAGTTCCACGATTTCGACCACCTTGATCCATACGACAAGAGAACCCGCGCCATGAAAGGAGCCGAGTTTTACCGCAAGCTATTGGAGCAGCGGATACGGGATCGAGAGGATAGGCCGTCGTTGACTTTTAGTTGGAAATGATCCATGGAACAGCTGGCGCTTGCGATAGCTGCAAATGATAGCTATGCTTGTGAGCTTCTGTAATCGAGGTCGCTACGTCAACTTTTGACAACATGAGGCTCCGAGGACCGCAATCGGATAAAGTCTGGAAGCAGAGGTTCCGTTATGGGCACATGGTAGCTACAATGTAATGGACACAGAATCGAACAACAGTCGCTACCAGAACAGCTCAATGAAACAGGAACAGAAATCTTAGGTACTAACAGCGCACCGTGCACGAGCAAGTGCAGTGGGCACGCTCCTTCCAAATCAAGTATTGCACACCGCTGCTCAGTTTGTCCACTCCACCACACCAGCTCTATCAACAAAACTGCACTCAAACTCCAAACTAATATCCCTGGGTATCGCATTGGAACCTCCAACGAGCTCCAACGCTTCAAACATGGAACATGCTCCAGAACCCGATAATTCTGCGCCAATTTCGCTGCAGCAAAAATCCTAACACTCGCAGCTCGCTCTACTTAGAAGGCGAGCCAGGCTTCATGTTCTCGTATCCAGAGACAGGTCGAGATACCAAAGTGCTACTGTTGCTCTGCGCCAAATCCAACAATCTGTTACCACTTCTGCTAAAACTGACAAACCGATATGCCGGATCATCTCGCAACATTGCCCAGACCACCACTGGAATCCTGAACTCCAGCAGACTGGAATCTGTGTCATAGACACCAGCGAAGTCGACCTTCAGCTTCAATAGCTTTGCAGGCATACGAGTTTCGAGCCAGATCTTCAATTGCCTGACGGTCTCTGCTGTGATCTTCTCTTCGATGTGAGCCGTAATGATCACCCTCGGCTCTTCGCTCTCATCTCTGAGCGTGACAGGAGGAGGAGCTGCGATGTTTCCCAGTCTGCGAAGGAGGATGGGAGGGTGGGTGTCGTTACGGGGGAGATAGGTTGGAGTAACTGAGAGTCCGAACTTGCTTTTGTTATGGACAATCCGGCTGTAGATAGCCGACGTGGTCCAGGGGTTACCGTTGCAGATCTTGAGCTGCTCGATTAGAGCCTTCGTGAAACTGGTGGCTACGTCGGCCCCAGCGATCTCTGTCGCCGAACAAGCTGTCAGGAATTCGCTTTCGATGGACCTGAATGCTTCTGCAGCGCAGCAGCAGTCCAGTATCTGCAAGATGTCGCTTGGAATACCATCCAGCAGACTAACTGCCGAATTCCAGAAGAAATTCGGTGCTTGACCGTCGGAGGTACCCCTAATTAATTGTTAGTAGCTGATAAGAACATTACACATTAGAAAGATCTGAACTTACGATACCCGGAGTTGGTTTACTCCATTATGCTTGACCTTTTCTCCATGGCCAGAGTAAACCAGTATGATCAGATTGCCAGCAGAACCATACTCCTCGGGCTCCGCGAGATCACTCAGGAGAGAATTGACCTCCAGCGTGACAGATGCATACTTCGTATTTGCACCACCAATCGTATTGTATCTTACGTCGTAATGATACACCTTCTTGAAGATATCCCCCAGCTCTTTCTCTAGTTCTCGTACACCGACGATGTCGTTGTTCAGGAAGTGCATGAACTGTACGACTACCTTCGAGTATCCAGACGAAGAGGGGCTTCCGCGCAGAAGAAAAGCTCGCTGGACAGAACTCTCAATATCCTGCTGGTATGCTGCGATTTTGATTTTGCAAGCATCTTGTGTCGTTGTCGTCTTGAGGTTGGAAGACATCGGGAGGTGAAAAATCCTTTCGGAGGTCGGGAGTTGGTAAAAGTGAGAGGCTCAGAAAAATATTTTGAGAATTGTTCTGGGGATTGTGAAGTAGGAAACTTGGAACACAACCATGGTTGAGCAACTTAAATACTTGCGCGAACCCACAAAAAACCCAAAGTCCATAAGCTATGCAACCGCTTTTAGGCTACGCATTGCTCGTCTATCTTTACTGGCGTTGAGTTCGCCAAATTGACGCTTACAAAACTCATGTTCTCAAAGCCCGTACGCCTCACTTCATCAGCGTCTCAGAAAGTAAATGTGATTGAACATTTAACGCCCAGGATGAACGAGTACTAGAAGAAAAATGTTCCTTATCCGTTGACGCCTCTACACTGCTCCTGTGAGGAGTATATAAACTCCCGATTTCCTCGCCTTGTCTTATTTCTTACTCACCACCCTCCTCCTACATCTTTCCAAAATTGCGTGGTCAAGCCCTTATGCGAGAGTCCTATCTTTCTTTTCCACCTACTTCCAAAATCGCCAATACTTCGATACATGTGACTGTGTCACAATAATCGTACTGCTCATCGGTTTATGAGAGCCTCTCCTGCGGAGCCTCTCTAAAAACAAGGAAACATATGAGACCATGGCGCGTTCCGCCTGGAACTCGATGCTACATACTACTCAAAGCACGACTTTTGATTGGCGTGGAAGTAACGTATCCATGAGAGCAGAACATGCGACGTCAAAAGAGCAGAGCACTGTTTTCATATCTGCGTTCGCCTCGGGAGATGCGTATAAAAATGTCTCCGCACTGTCGTCTCTCTATTCCTTCTATCATACCAAACTTGTACACGATTCTTCAAAAGACGCATAAGGGACGTTCTATGTCCGCGTCTTCCCTTTCTCAAAAGCTTCAATGTCCAACACATGTGCCTGTCGTCTCCCCGATTCTCTACCCACGAAATGAGAAACCTCATGTACCGATCTCAAACATATACGACCGCATCCAAAAAGTGCTGAAGCAGCAGAACATGAAAAGAGTGTGCTTCCTTGTTCAAAACATATCGGAGACCACGTGATGAGTGCGCGCTCTGGATGACTCTTGACGCGTATAAAGCCGCCTCTTCCTTTCCTACCTTCTCTGTTTCCACACACCACAGTTCTCACTCCTTTTCCCAAAAGCTAGCTACAGTTGCTGCATGGTCCTCCTCTTCTCGCAGCCACCTCCCATATTCATCTTCATGGGCTGTCGATGTGCCCTATCCTACTTCCAAAAATTCTGGACAGCCTTTCCATGTGCAAGCAGGCAAGATAAGGAAGCTTTGTACTTTAAAATGACTTTCGGACGAGGGGATGTCGTTTTCTCCTCGTCTCTACTCTTTGAAGAGCTACTCTCAAAATGACGGATGGAAACTGTTATGTGAAGAGGACGGGAAGCCGTCCAAAAGAATGGATCCGCAAATCGATGTGCTGTCACTCTCCCCGCCTCAGCTATAAAATCTGCACTTTTTGCTCTTCCTTCTTCTCTTGTCCGCACATGCAAAACCCGATTTACCAAAGCACATGAGAAGTGGATTATGGCTGTGGTCTCGTGGCGTCTTCTAAAAATGAGCGACGAATTCAAAGATGTGTTCGAAAACTACATCTCTCTACCCTATGTTCTTGCGCGGAAGAAGCACCATAAAACACTAGAACGCGAGTCTCATGGAGTCAACTGTGCGAATACAGTAATGAAAAGAGTCAGGGTTGCTCTCATGTGTTGTGTGGAGAAGAGGCTGCTGTTGAGGCTGGAGTGAACAGTGATGATGATCATCATCATCGTAATGAGCCTCGATAGTAAAAGACTTCCGTAACATTGCATGTGTACTGCACTTAAGATATCCGTAAAGGGAAGGTCCATTTCTTAGGCCAGAAAGAGGTATTCTACTTCCTGCATATCCCACCACTCAGTGTTCACAAACAAAGCACATGCTTCCTCAGCCCCTCAGCCCACCACCTTCCCATCACCGTCTATTTGCCCATACCCTTAAGATAAGCCTCCCACCCATCCTCCAGCAACGCCTTATCCTTCCGCATAACCTCCTTCTCATTCCCCTCCATCCAAACCCTCAACCTCTCGCGAATCGTCTTATCCTCCGCACCAAGGATGCGTACAGCAAGCAGCGCAGCATTGGTCGAGTTATTGATACCGACAGTAGCAACAGGCTCGCCACGCGGCATCTGGGTCATGCTAACAAGACTGTCCCAGCCATCCATCACACTCGCCTTGACGGGCAGACCAATCACCGGAAGTGTGGTCCACGACGCACACATACCGGGTAGATGGGCAGCGCCACCCGCAGCGCCGATGATGACTTTTAGAGACGTCTGAGAAGCGGTCTTGGAGAACTCGCGGAGCCAGTCGGGGGTGCGGTGGGCGCTAGTGATGCGCGTGGTGAAGGGGATTTGCAGTTTAGTGAGGATCTCCAGACCGGCGCGGAGGACGGGGAGATCGGAGTCTGAGCCCATGATTACAGCGACGAGAGGCTCTTCTGTGGAGCTTTTTGAGCTTCGTGATTCGACGGTCTTTCCCTTTTGGGCGTCGACAAAGTCGACGAGGGGCTGGATCTCGCGTTCTGCGGCTGCGAGTGTGGGGGCTGTGAGGGTGATGTGGCCCATCTTGCGGCCGGGACGCGCATCGCCTTTTCCGTAGAGGTGAATTGATGCGTTTGGTGACTCAAGAGCCCTCTTCGCGACTTGAACGTGGGAGTCTGGTGTCTTGCCGCCAAGGATGTTCAGCATGATGGAGGGCTCGCGGAGGCGCAGGCTAGATTGCGAGATGGGTAGGTCAAGGATAGCTCGGAGATGCGCGTCGTATTGCGAGATGGGGCAGGCTTCGATGGTGTAATGTCCCGAGTTGTGCGGACGAGGTGCGATCTCGTTGATGAGCAGGCTGTCGTCTTTGAGCAGGAACATCTCAACACCGAAGACACCCTTGCCTTCGAAAGCACCGATAGCCTTCTTTGCGAGTTCCTGGGCTCGTTGTGCAGTTTCCTCTGCTACGTTCCTGGGTGGTGCGTATGTGAGCTTGCAGATACTGTCCTCATGCACAGTCTCGACAGTAGGGAATGTGAGCACGCCGTCCTTGGTCTTGACGACCATGACTGCGAGCTCCATCCTGAAGTCCGCCCAGCGCTCTGCATACAGCGGCCTCTTCCCTAAGGCCTCAAATGCTTCATCAACGTCCGCCTCCCTCTTCACCACAAAGTTGCCCTTGCCGTCATACGCCTCTGTCTTGCTCTTGAGCATGAACGGATAGCCATATGACGAACCTACTTCCTTCAATCCCGCAACACCCTTTCCTTCGAGATCGATGCTATCTGCGACATCCACTCCATGCTCTTTCAGGTACTGCTTTTGGGCGTATTTGTCTTTGATGGTCCGTAGTGTTTTCCAGCTGGGTTCAACAACGACCTGCCCCGCTACCTCTTCGAGCATATGGGTATCGACATGTTCGATCTCGACAGTGACGACATCGGATGATTCTGCGAGTTTCTTTACAGCCGCTGCATCCTTGAAAGATCCCTCGATATGGCCGTCGTGCGCTGATATCTGCTTTGCTGGTGATGCCCCTACGTCCAGGACATTGACTTGAACGTTCAATCGGTTGGCAGCCTCGATTAGCATGCGGCCCAGTTGGCCGCCGCCTAGCACTCCTACTTTTCGACTGTCGACCATTTTGCCAGAGTTGTTGTCAATGTCAAGTCATTCAAGTGATGCAGTGACTAGTCGGGGCATTACGTCGGGTGGTTTAGATTGGCTAGCGCTGGGTGGCTGAATGTGGGGGAGCCGCAGAAAATTTAGCACGCGAAAAACTTCGTCGTTCAACATCGCTATACAGTATTACCTGTTGCGGGCAAAATATCCTGCATGTGAAATTCGCGAATAACTAGATCGCTAACTCAGTTTTGAAGACATGCACGTCCATAGATGGGATGATTGTTCATGATTTAACCATGAGCTCGGGAGAGCCCATGTGTATGCTTTCATTTCATGTTGAGCATTGAGTATCTTTTTGCAGGCTTTCGAAGAGCCTTTGCCAGTCATGAAGCGCGCCTCGTAAGAATTCCCATGACCATGACCACGCCAACCCAGAGAAACCAAGAGTGCTGTAAGCACACGCTTAAACCTTGAAACCACGCGACCTTCTGCGTCCACGGGCACGCTCGAACTTGCGGCCCTTGCTCTCGACGTAAGGCTTCTTGTGGGAGTGGGGACCGAAGCCGAAATGCTTGAAGGCCTCACGGGCGTTCTTGGGTCCACGGAGGAGGAGGGTGTTGGATCCAGTGGGGAAGCGGGTAGCGACCTCGTCGATGGTGAGGCACTCACCACCGGCCTTCTCGATGCGGGCGCGGGCAGAGGCGGTGAAGCGGAGAGCCGCAACGGAGAGCTTGGGGACCTCGAGCATGCGGTTGTCGTCAGTGACGGTACCGACCTGACGGAATGTTAGCCATTGATCTTCGCTTCGGGTATCGCTTCACGTACAACGACGACGGTCTTGCCGGCGTGCTCCTTGGCGGAGTGCTTGTTGGCGGCGTTCGCGACGATCTTGGAAACGGAGACCGGCTATGCTGTGTTAGTTACGTTGTTCTCCTGTGATTGCGATCGGTCGTCTTACGGGGCGGTTGGTCTTCGACATCATGAGGCGTCGCAGAACGGTCTTGTTGAAGTTGGCATCGGTACGGCCTGTCCGCTGTTAGCACAAACAATGTGCGCATTTGCAAGGTGAAGTACTTACGAGCCAGGAACTTGTAAAGGCGCACCAACAGCCTGACGTAGGGGTTGGTAGACTTAGGGACCTCTGTATACTCGTCAATCTCTCTCCTTCGAAGGCTTCATGTTGCGTCTAAAAGACAGCTGTCGCCAGCGCATTGCTGCGCCGACTCGACGGGGGATCACATACTGCGGTGCCCGTCTCGAACATGGTGGCGGTCGAGGTCGATTCCCATCTTGACTGATTTTGAGCGTGTTGTGCTGTGGGTTAGTAACGACTGAGGGAGGAAGCTGAAGTTCGCGATTCGAATTTGGCAGGAAAGGGCAGCTTGGCGTGGTGTGGCCCGTGCGAAGCGAGAACTTCAGAACTCCACAGGGCAGGAGCGGCCGCGCATGCATCAGCACGACAACATGGAACGTCAAAATCGATAGTTGTTATCCAAGTCCGTGAGCGTACTCAGCATGCGGAGTCAACTAGTAGTCGTATCTGCTTCATTGTAGTTTGCCCATGTTATTCGTCGTAAAATGCATCACAAGTACAGTAGAAGAAATGCATCGGATGCTCCACGGCATTACCAATTATATAGCTACAAGTATATACTTTCGCTCGCAGTTCTGTGAATGCCTGCAAGATCTATGTGCCAAAAACGTGTTACTTAATCATTTCCTGTCATTGCTCCCTGACATGCGATTGACACCAGTCGCGTACCGAACCACAAAAAGCATCAAAGAAGGCTCCGTCGGCATGAAAGCTCCTGCTCGTCTATGCGTATAAACACCGGTCACCGTACACTCCAAGCCCGCTCCAAGCTACAGATAAAACGACAAGGGGGAAGGGAAATCGAGGTAGACCAGCGTAATGCAAGTAGGCCTACTCCCAGCTAGAAAATTGCCAAGACCGATTTTAGAAGGAACCAGTTCTTCATACGGCCTTGTCGCCAATGAGCTTGCCGATGCCGTTGTAGACCTGGTTGGTCGAGTCGGGGGCGTAGCGGGGTCCGAGAGAGCCAAGGACGAGGAACATGCCAATGATGACGGCGGCGAAGACCATCAACTTGCGAAGGACGGGGCGGGTGTGGCCAAACTCTTGCCACTTCATGCTACCTTGGCCGAGGTACTCTTTCAGCTTCTCTCCGCCGAGCTTGTAGTAGACGAGACCGCCAAGCGCGATGGCGTAACCGAAAGCCTGGAGAGGAGAGACGGGGTCCTTGAAAAGGAACATGGACGCAAAGACGAGGAGGATGTCCTTGAGTACACCGGAGAGAGTAAGGACGAGCGAGGAGGTCTTGCCAATCTGAAGACGTGTTAGTGATAGTTTGTGGAGTGTGTAGAAGGAACGTACCAGGAAAACGACGGAGACGTTGAGCAAGAAAGCGACGGATGCGTTGGCCAGCAGAGTGGTCAGACCAACACGGTCGATGTCAGCCATAGACATCTTGGGGAGCTCAGTGAACATGAGAATGACACCGTTGATGAAGGCGCAAGCAGGGGCGTAGTAGTAGAGGGAGACGAGCGGGTCCATCTTGAAGTCGGCACCGCTGAGAAGGCGCTGAACCATGACCAGACGGACAGCCTCGAAGACGATACCAGCGGCCTGGAAGAGGAAACCGACCATGACGAACTTGATCTCTCCCAACGAGGCAATGACTACACCGATGACGATGAAGGAGACGTTTCCGAGAGTCTTGAGGTTGACAGGCGCAACTCCGAGACTCCAGGTGGTGATGAGGACAGCGACGGGCATAGTAGCCTGCTGAGGTCAGTAGCTGCTACAGGTCCAAATCCGTGGAGAACATACCTTCAGCATCTGGATGAAGGCCACACTCAGGTACAGATATGCCTGGTTACCGCAGATCAAGCTCATACTGAAGAAGATACCGATGGGGACGATGGCTCGCAGGTATACGCGTCCGGTCATGGGCACCTTTTTCCGGGAGTCGAGGACGGTGGTGAAGCGGGCGAGGATCTGGGTCATGACGGTCGCGAAAACCAAATGCCATGTTGTGAGGAAGATGGGGTAGTCTGCCGGTGTGTTAGAATGCGGAGGTGCGGCGGAGCAGAGTGAACGTACGGAACTTGGCTGTGTCTAAGATGTACTTGTTGAAGACAATTGTGCTGGAACTGAGCGAGATCCATGTTGCAATGTATACTGCAGGATGGAAAGATGGCGCCTCGGGGGCTGGCTTCTGCGCATCTGGGTTGACGGTCGGCAGCACAGGCAGGGCTGTGTCGCGCGAGGCCTCGACCGAGGATCTCATCTTCTCGTCGGACATATTTGCGGGTGGTGGCTAACGAGGGACGGTAAAGGTGTTGAGTGAAGGTCAAAGGAGGTGGTTGCGGCGCTGGGAATGCAAGTTGCAAGGTTGCAGTAGCAGTGGGCTAGCGCTGCTGACTGATGGCGGGTGTTGCGCGTCAAGGGACAAGCGTGGCACAAGCAACACGAAGCAGCTGTAACAGCGCTGGAGCAATGAGGAGATAAAGAGCGACGAGAAGTGTTGAGAGCACTTGTACAGTAAATGTGACGGTACTAATACCTCGACTGCGCTAGGGAAGGGGAGGGGCGGAGCGGGAATCAGCCAGACGACTTCTAGAGCCGGTGCACAGGGGGGGTTCTGGTTTAGGCGTGCTATCACTGGGCAACGGCCGACTATGTACTAGAGCTGATATGAGGCCAGATGAAGATTTGCCAGGAGCCGCGCGGGATTTTGCAAGTGCTCGATGAGGTGAAACTGATCGCCCGTGGAGCCCTGAGTGGACGCGCAATCGACCACAGCGGCGAGCACTCCCATCAATGGCGCCGAAATTTTGAGCCGCCTCTTGCACTTGCTTGTGTAGGTGTGTACGCGTACTGGCACCCTGCAGAGAGGCGCCGAAGACACCGGTCCCACATATATGTAGAAAAGTGACAGCTTCATGCACATCGCGCACTCGCTGCTGCCACGCGCAGCGGTTTACATTGCAGGAGCTGTGCCGCGTCGCTGGAGCGCAGGGTGAGGCGCACCGTTAGGGGTATGCAGAGTACTTCGCACACAGGCGTCGTTGCACCGTGGCACTAGCACGACACCAAGTCGATGCGTCGTTGATCTGAGGCTGTAGTCCCCCAGAGATAGAGTCGGTCAAGCTTCACCATGTGCTGCAGCCCGCCAGATTGAGGCTCCACCCGCGGGAACGTGCAGAGGCCATGGTGACACACGCAACTCGAGGCCACGGGCAATGAACATGTTGCACGCACGAGTGGTGAAGCAGACGGCCGGCACCAATCAAGGCGCCCACGAGCAGCTGCGTCAAGCCCGATCGCCGGTCCCCATGGCGGCCTGCCCCTTTTCTCGCCGTTGCAGCGCGGCCGTCTGAAGCCCCCAAGCTCTCCCCAGCCGACTCCTTCGGCGGCTGGCCCTCTGTTACCCTGGACCCACTTAACGCAGCATCGCCTTGGCGTCCTTAGTTTATCGCCAGCTATATTCCTCACCACGCCCCAAACGTCTGGCCTCTGCTCCACACCCTCTCTATAACTACAAGTGCTGCTCGCCCGCAGAGTACATGCTCAACTACGCCCGCCAGACTTTGAAGCGCGTTCCGAGTTTCCAGGAAATACTACAGGGCAAGATGGGATCCGCCAAGGAAGAAATGTATGTTCACCGCCTGCTCACCCACACGGCATCCTTCTGAGCACGCGCTGACAATGCCATAGTTCGGTCGACGTGCTCGTTATCGGCGCTGGCCCGACCGGTCTGGGAGCAGCAAAGCGCCTCCACCAGATTGTATGCTCAACACAGAGTCCAAGTGGCGGGGCACATGCTAACAACAACAGGATGGCCCCTCATGGATGATTGTCGACTCCAATGAGACGCCTGGTGGTCTGGCTTCGACCGACGTCACTCCAGAGGGCTTCGTGAGTACCCCCACCGCCAATTGACTGCCCGCCTCTAACTCCTCCCCAGCTCTACGACGTTGGTGGCCATGTCATCTTCTCCCACTACAAGTACTTCGACGACTGCATCGACGAGGCCCTCCCCAACGATGACGACTGGTTCACCCACGAGCGTGTGTCGTACGTCCGCTGCAAGCGCAACTGGGTCCCCTACCCATTCCAGAACAACCTGTCCATCTTGGACAAGGACGACCAGGCCAAGTGTGTCGACGGCTTGATTGACGCCGCACTCGAGGCCCGCGTGGCCAACACCAAGCCCAAGGACTTTGACGAGTGGATCATGCGCCAGATGGGTGTTGGCATCGCTGACCTCTTCATGCGACCATACAACTTCAAGGTCTGGGCTGTGCCCACCACCAAGATGCAGTGCCAATGGCTCGGAGAGCGTGTCGCCGCCCCCAACGTCAAGGGTGTCATCAACAACATCATCCACAACAAGACCGCAGGAAACTGGGGCCCCAACGCCACCTTCCGCTTCCCCGCGCGAGACGGTACCGGTGGTATCTGGAAGGCTGTTGCAAAGACACTGCCAGACTCCAAGACAAGATACGGTGACCACGGCAAGGTCAACAGGGTTGATGCCGACGGCCACAAGGTACACCTGAACGACGGCACAGTTGTCAACTACAAGAAGCTCGTCAACACCATGGCTGTCGATCAGCTCGTCGAGTTCATGGGCGACAAGGAGCTCATCGACCTCAGCAAGGGTCTCTTCTACTCCACCACCCACGTCATTGGCGTTGGTCTCCGCGGCGAGCGACCAGAGCGCATTGGCGACAAGTGCTGGCTGTACTTCCCCGAGGATGACTGCCCATTCTACCGCGCCACCATCTTCTCCAACTACTCGCCATACAACCAGCCCCAGAAGGACGTCAAGCTCGCCACTCAGCAGATGGCAGATGGCTCCAAGCCCAGCTCCACTGAGCCCAAGGAGGGCCCATACTGGTCCATCATGTTGGAGGTCTCCGAGTCCAGCATGAAGCCCGTCGATGAGAAGAACATGCTCAAGGACTGCATTCAGGGTCTCATCAACACTGAGATGATCAAGTCGGATGACGAGATCGTCTCCACCTACCACCGCCGCTTCGACCACGGATACCCCACTCCCTCGCTCGAGCGTGAGGGCGTCCTCACCAAGCTTCTCCCTGCCCTCCAGGCCAAGGACATCCTGTCTCGTGGCCGCTTCGGCTCATGGCGCTACGAGGTCGGTAACCAGGACCACTCGTTCATGTTGGGTGTAGAGGCTGTGGACCACGTTGTCAACGGTGCTGTTGAGCTTACCCTCAACCACCCTGACTTCGTCAACGG